TCCATCCCAGGACAGGGGAAATGACACAGACGCCCTTAAGGGACAGAGAAAGTCACAAAAGCATGGGAGGGATCAGAACCAGGAGGCTGCAGAAAGGGTTCCCACGAGGGAGCCGCCATGTTTAGGAAAATATGACACTAGGGAGAGTCTTGCTAAGGTAGGAAACTGCCCCACTGCGCCTCCTCCCAAATTTCAGAGCGAAACTCATTTCCCATAATAAAGAGCAACAAAGGATCTGTGAAGTAAGATCCCATCGACAGTCACTAAGAGAGAAAACAGAACTCAGAACAGAGTAACATGCCACAGACACAGAAGCACACCAGAAAGATCAGCAAAACAGAAGGAAAACACAAGCTGCAGTTTTAAAGACATTAAGAAAGCCAGTGTGGTGGCGCACGACTGTAATCCCAGCGACTCTGGAGGCTGAGGCAGGAGGATCACAAGTTTGAGGCCAGCCTCAGCAATTTAGTGAGATCGTATCTTAAAAAAAAAAAAAAATGCTGGGGATGTAGCTCAGTGGTAAAATGCCCCGACTTCAATCCCTACTACAAAATAATTTTTTAAAAATTTATTTTAATTGAAAAAAGGACTAGCAATGGAGTTCAGTGGCAGAGCACTTGCCCGGCATGCTCAGAGCCCTGGGTTCGGTCTCTGCACCAAATAAATAAATAAACGCCCATTAAGAAGCAGATACCAGACAGAAGTGGGTGACAATTCAGGACAGAAATAGAAATTTAAACAGTAAAACATAAGTTCAGTAATGAAGATCAGACTTCAAGGAGCATGAAAGTGAATTAACTATAACGCCTTATGAGAGATATAAAGGAAAAAGGAGGAAAGGAAAATTTTAAACAAAAAAGCAATAAAGCAACATGTCCACAGGTTTGGGGGGTAATGAAATGTTTCAAAATTAGACAGAGAAGATGGTTGCCTCAGTCTACTAATATACTCAAAGGTTCTGAATTTATAGTATGTGGATTATATCTCAATAAAACTGATACCTGCAAATACCTGTGGCTACAGATCCACGTTACGGTAAGGTCCTAGCTCCAGGCATTAAACCATAGTATCTGGCAGCAGAACTAAATAGAAATAAAGAAAAAAGTGGAAAACATCCCAGAGGAAGAGACAAATGTTGAAGGTAGGCCATGAAGACCTACATAAGGGCAATAGGTGTCCCTAGTAGAAAAGTAAAGAAAGGGAACCAAAAAGAGTCTAAAAATGTAATTCAAGGTGGGGCTGGGGCTGGGGCTCAGCGGTAGAGCCTTTGCCTGTCACGTGCGGGGCCCTGGGTTGGATCCTCGGCACCACATAAAGATAAATAAAGGTATTGACAACTACAACTATTATATATATATATATATATATATATATAAAAGGTATTGTATCCATTTCCAGCTAAAATGTTTTTTTAAAAAGTGATTTTAAAAAATGTTATTCAAGGGCTGGGGATGTAGCTCAGCACAGAGCATTTTGCCTGGCGTGCCCAAGGCCCTGGGCTCCATCCTCAGCAAAGATAAATGAATGGATACACAGTAGTGCTGAGGCTGGATTGGAAGTATCATGATTATTTGAAGTATTTTAACTTTTTTCCTTTTTTGTACTAGAGATTGAAACCAAGGGCACTTAACCTCTGAGTCAAATCCCCAGCCCTTTTTTACATTTTATTTAGAGATAGGGTCTGGCTAAGTTGCTCAGGGCCTCACTCCATTGTGGAGGCTGGCTTTGAACTTGCAATCCTCCTGCCTCAGCCTCCAAGCCCCTGGGATTGCAGGTGTGCGCCATCCCGCCTGGCTGTTTAATCCTATGTGTCTCTAGAGAGCTCTCCGTGTGTAGCTGTGCACAGGGACAGCTGTGTGTTAGTGAGATGCAGGTATGGACGTGTGTGAGGAGGTGTCCACACGTGCACAGTGCAGGCCACTGGGAGAGCTGGAAGCACAGTTCAGTGCAGCAGCAGTGAAGGCTCCTTGAGCCAGACTGTGGTCTCAAAATACCACCGGCCAATGAAACCAAAGACACTAGGCTTTGAGGAGAAAGTTAGATTCCCGTTTAAAGCAGCAGAGGAGCTAAAGAGGCCAGGGCTCCTTGTCTTGCAGGCTAGCAGAAAAGCTGTCAAAGCCACTGGAGTCCTTCCAAAGTGGAAGGACCAGGCAGACAGAGGAGGCCACCACTGGCCAGAGATGTACACTTTGACCTCCCTGCAGATAACGGTTGCAAAGGACCGAAGCACATCTAATGGGCTCAGATCTACATACAAGATTTAAGCCTGGACTGGACCCCAGGGCCTCGTGCGAGCTGGGCACGTGCTCCATCCTGAGCTACACCCCAGCTCTGAGGCTAGTGAAAAATCAGATGTGTCCCCGCAGGGGAGGGGACAGGAAGCAAATTCACTCCTGAGGACTGACGAGTTAAAGGGAAGGGTTGAGCCTTTCTCCGGCTTCTCCCATGTGAACCGTGCGGCTGGGGGCAAAGAGCAGGCGGCGCAGCCTTGTGCACAGGTGTTCTGGCTCCCTGTGCTCTGGGCACAGCGCCGTGACTGCATGTACAAATGGCCTAGACACACTGCTGTCCCTGAGTCTTGCCAATGTGCTGGGACAGAGGAGGCCGAGCAAGCCTGGGCAGGACGGGCACCTGCTAAGCTTCACGGGGAACCTAGGATCTGCGACTTTTATCTGTGGGAGCCAAGTCACCCTGCCCAGGTCTCCCACAGACAGAGAAAGGAAAAGAAATGGACGCAGAGGACCAGCAGGTTAAGAGAAACTCCAAGCTATTTTTTATAAGAGTGAAACCTCTTTCCCGTGTCGCGGGATGTCCATGCAGGGGACAAACAGGAAGGAACAAAGCGGGTGTCAGCTCAGGCCAGATGCCCCTTCTGGGGGCGGGGAGGAGGAAGGGTCTGGGAGTCTGGCCTCCTTCCACCCCTGAGAGCAGCCTCCGGGCTGGCTGGCCTCACCAGCTCTGATTTGTTCCACGGGAGTCCCTGTATCTGGTTTTTAGTTTACAATTTTTAAAAGTCGGAAACAAAACAACAACAAAACCACTCGAAGCCAACACCTCACACACCCGAGCCAGGTCCTGTCCCTTCTTGCTCAAAATCCACAGTGGTGGCATTTTCGTAGAGAGGACAGCTATCAGTGGCCCTGGTGCCGGCCCGTCACCCCCCACGGCCTGCGCTGCCCACTGCAGCTGTGGAACTCTCCACGGCGTCCCCTTGGCCCGCCAGCTTTCCCGGGCACCTCCTGGCACACCCCCCCACCACCTGCAGGCCTCTCTCATATTTTCTGGTCATGTTTTCCTTGAGCGCCGGCCAAAAATGGCCCCAGACACCGCTACGGGCCCTCTCTTCTCCACAGCAGGTTTGCACCTAATGCGTCCACACAGCCGCAGCCCGGCTTGTCTGCCCCTCGGTGGGGACAGGGCTTTCTGCTGCCGGGCCTCTGGTGCCCGATCAGTGCCTGGCACTGAGCTCCAGGTGGAGGCGACTGTGACACTGTCCTACCTGGCATAGCCCTGGCTGGGGGCCTGCCCAGTGTCACAGCCAAGACACCGTGCCTGGAGAGGGCAGCTCTCCTTACAGAGCAGGCCTGGGTGATGCTCACCCCTGGCCAGCACAGGTGTACCACCAGTGGCTTGGAGAGCCACTGAACACAGGACAGGACAGGAAGCCATAGGCTTCATAACCACTGCCCACCCCGAGGGGCCGTGGGGCTCAGAGCCACACCCCAGTGTCCAGGGAGGGCTTGAGCCCCGGGCCCGGGGCGTGGTGCTCCTGTGTGGATGTGATGCACACTTTTTGCTGGTAAAATTGGTCTCTGCACCAAACAGGTGGCATCTTACAAAGAGCACCCTGATTTCCACGGACCCCTCACCCCGTCTGGGGACAGTCGATTGACTTTCCTTCTGAGCCCCACATCACCGCACCCTCAGGCCCACCCTCTCCCCACTCTGCCAGCCTCTGGGCTCTGCCTTACTTCCGCCCGGAGCTGGGTCCTTCCAGAAGGCTCTCTGCTCCCCTCCACCTAGCCAAGCTCCTTCCACACTCCGTGAAGCCCTGCTGGGACCCCCAGATCCTGGAGCTACAGGGAAAAGAAGACCCCCCCAGCCCCTGCTCAGCCCCCCGTGTCCAGGCGAGCTGAATCCCGCTGCTGGTCATTCAGCTGAGGCTCGGCAGGGCGCGGGGTCGCGGGGGTCATGGGGGTCAAGGGGGAAACAGTTCACACTAACTCATTCCATCCACCTGGGAGCCCTACAAGGCAGGTAAACTGAGGCACGGTCAGCGACTGGTGGTGCTGGACTCTGAGCCCAGTGTTTGGGCTGCGGCGCTCCCTTTCCTGACTGCCACGTGCCAAGAGCAGTCAGAGGCACCTGTGGGGTCAGCAGGGAGGGGTGGCTACAACTGCTGGGGGTCAGGGGAGGGGTCATGGAGGAAGGGACACCATGCTGGGCAGTGGGGGAGGGGCTGGCCATTCTAGGCTGGGGTAACAGCAGGTCAGCAGCCCAGTGCAGAAGGCTAGCTCTTCCAGGAGGCTGCGCTGTCACTGGGGGTCTGGGTTGCTGGGTCAGTGGGAGCCCATGTTTAGTCCTGAGGGTGGCCGGGGCATGGAAGGGTTCTACTCCTGAATGAGATGGTCCGATCAGGGTGCTGCTCCCTGAGAGGTGGCGTGAGCAGGAAGGGACGGGAGGGACTGGTGCACCGGGCAGTGGTCCCTTCCCTTCCTAGCTCCCCCTCTCTCTGGGGGAATAGCCAGGACTGGTTCTCTGAGAATCAGTCTCCTCTTCTGTAAAGTGGGGATGGAAATGGCCTGGGCCTTCTGGTGGCCCAATCAAGCCATCGCAGGATATGTGCCCGCAGAACCTGGCCAGGGCAGCTGCTGGGAAGAGTGGCCTTTGTCGCATCATTCAGAGCCAGGTGGGGGCAGGAGGTCCTACCTGAGAAGGCTCTGGGGGTAGAAACACAGCCCACTTCTTGAGTGACCCCAGGCCTGGCGACCGATACTCACCACCACCTCCAGGTCTGAGTTCAAGTGCCGCTGGGTGTCCGACATCTGCACCAAGATCTCCCCTAGGGGCAGGAGGGGCGTGGCTTTAGTGTGGGGGAGCCTGCCCCACCTGCCCTCTTCCCACACCCGAGGCTGGATTTGGGGACCAAAGTCCAGGGATTTCCCATGTAGCTCTTGGGACTCTGCCACCCTTGTCCCAGCCCTGCGGCAGCCCGGAAAGGAACAGGGAGGAGCTTGGGCTCCAAATCAGCATCTGGGCTCAGAGCTGCAGGCTGGGCCAGGGCCTGTGGGGTGGGGACTCCTGGAACGGCCAGTGCGTAAAAGGACCCCACTGGGCCCCAGAATGCGGGGCCTGGGCTTGAGGGGGGCATCAGTAACACAGGTGGGAGGCCCAGACCCGAGAAATGGGGGGCAGTGGAGGTAGTGCCTCACCCAGAATCTGCGAGGTGGAACTCTGCAAGGCCTGCTCCCCAATCTTCTGGATGGCCCTGAAGTACACCTCAGCTGCCTCGGACAGGGCTACAGGAGAGAGGGGACGTCCAGCCCAGCCCCAGCCCGGCCTCTGACCCCGCCTTCTGGGTCTCCCGCTTTGGTCAGAAGAGTGTGTGTGGAGGGGACCTTCTGGGGTCTGGAGTGTGTGTGGGTGAGAGGGAGGAGTGCCCTGGGCAGAGTGTGGCATTGACCAGGGGCAATAGAGCGGGCTCTGCTGCAGCCTGGCACTGAGCAGGATGCTCCGTTGTGTCCGTTGCAGGTGGGTGCAGCCTCTGTGTGTGCCCGTGACGAGGGTGTGCACAGGTGTGTGGAGAGGCTCGGGACAGGGCTTGGCATGGGGTGGGGCAGGGCTTGGCATGGGTTGGGAGAGCAGGACTTGATTCTGTGGTCCCAAGAGGCAGGGCAAGTGGTGGCCTCAGCTTCTACCTTGTTGGGTGCTGAGAGATGGGAGTGGCCACACGGGGCAGGTGAGGGTGACTGTCCACACAGGGGTGCTGCAGTGTACCTGCAAGTGTGGCCAGCTGTGGTGTGAGGCTGGGTGCAGAGGTGGCACTGGGTCTGGGAGTGGGTTTTGTAGATGGCATACGGGTGACACAGCAATGAATGTCGGGGCGTGCACTTGACTCTGAGGGACCCGCAGGGCCTGGTGCTCACTCCCAGGGGCATCTCAGGGCACAGGGGGTGTGGACTGGGATCGAGGGGCAGAGACTGCACAGGAAGGGCTGGGCGTGGCCTCTCTGGCTGCAGCAGAGCAGGTGAGGTGCGTGGGGCTGAGGCTGAGCCCCACGTCTCGTGAGGGCTGCAGAGAACATGGCCTGGAGCTCAGGGGACTGAAGCAGGTGGGCGAGGCCGAGCGGCGCGGCGCCTGGGCGCCTGAGACAGGGCACTCACCGTGAAAGGCCCGAAGGTAGTTGTTGCCCAGGTGCACCAGGTTCTCCAGGGCAGGGTTGAACTGCTCCATGATGCTCTGGACCCAAGGGCAAGGGAGGCAGGGCACGGAGATGAAGAGAGGGTCAAGGAGCAGGGGCACTGGCCCCGCTGAGAAGCCTCCGGCCTCTGGGAGCCGCCCAGAGACCTGGGGTGACTCACGACCTGGCTCTCAGCTGCAGGTCCCTCAGAGGCCACTTGGGGAGGCCCATTTTAGGCCAAGGTCCCCTCACAGCCAGCTCCTGTCCTCATCACACCTGCCCCGGCTCCGGGGATTGCCTACTTCAAAGATTCTCCTCCTCCCTGGGCTGAGCCTGTCCATGGGCTATGGCCCTGTCCGCGTCCAGGTCTCACAGGGCTGAACAGATGGTGCTGCTGAAAGTCACCTCAGGGGTGGGGGTCAATCCTGTCCTTCTCAAAGAGACCCCTGGGTCACTGTGTGTTACACTTTGTGATAGTCCAAGCCTTGGCCTTGGACTTGAACTTGTGTCTTGATTCAAATCCCTTCTTTTGTGACCTTGAACAAGCTGTTTAAGCTCTGTGGTCTCCGTTTTCTTATCTGTCAGGGTGGTTATCTCCTACTTCACAGGTAGGGCGATGTGAGGCTTACACGTAAAAGGGCCCTGCGTACAGCAGGAGCTCAATAAGTGCCTATGGCAATGGTGGCAACCTCCGGAGATGAAATAGTTCTGACTGAGATGCTTAGAAATGGGAGAGACAGAGACAGAGAGCCCCCATTCCCCATGCTGGGCCCGCTCCCCCCATGGGGACTCCCATCTCGGCCCAGCTCCTCTGCCCTCTGCGCGCAGCTTCAGCCCGCAGGGCCTGGGCCCCGTCCTCCTTGTTGAGAGCAGGTGCAGTTGGGGTCCTGTTGGGCGGTGTGGCTGATGGCTCCAGGAATGCCCACTCCCTTGCCCACTGCTTGCCCAGCCTGGGCCCAGGCCCTCCTTCCCAGAGCACCTGCAGCCTGAGGCTGCCCCCTGCTCCTGGAGCAGGCCTGACCTCCACACCTGGCCCGGGCTGCCACATGCTCACCTTGTAGATGGCCATGGTGGACCTGTAGAACTGGTCCATCTCGGGTGCCATTAGGGTGGCTGTGCCGGTGCTGAGCAGGAGACGGGGAGCACTGAGGGTCGGTCTCTACAGGCACCCGGGGTTCAGTGGGCAGCGAGGAGGCTGCAGAGTGCGGCCTGCAGACGGAGGCCTGCCTCAGAGGAGGAGGCCGCTTAATTATTCACCAGCCGGGACGTCAATGCGATCTGGGGTGTAACCAGATCCGGCGGGGAAGGCATCCTGTGACGCGGGTGGGTTCATGTGACCTGCCCTTCAATTATTTACCCCAATGAGGGAAGGCCAGTGGGCATGCGTGCACCGGCCACTCTTCCCAGTCACCTCCTCTTCCAGGACCCCCGGCCCTGGGGAAACCCTGTCCTGCCACCCACCTCCCCAGGGCCCTGCCTGACGCACTCCTCTGGGCCTCCTGGGAACGCCTGGCAGGAGGCCAGCTCGCAGGTGAACCATCACTGTCCTCGGACCTTGTCTCTGCTCTGAGCCCCTCAGAGCTGCCCCTCGAGGGGCTGTGGCCGCTGAGGCACATCCTCTACTCCTCCAAAGGCCGTAGGGGAGGCGCAAACCCAGTCTCCAAGACCTGCTGCTCGCCGTCTCACCATCCCCAGGCCCCTGCCTTGCTCCATCTGCAGCGGCTCTCTGCCTTCCCTCACCGTGAGGACGAAGGCCCTGGGGCCTGCCTGGGGAAAGTGGGCCCAGAGCTGCCTCTGGACACCCCGTTGGCCTGTTCAGGGGAGGCCCTGAGGAGAGACTTGGTGTCCCTTACCCAGAGGGCCCAGAAAACAGGGCACAGGAAGAGGCCAGGCCAAGGCTGAGGGAGCGGGGTGGGGACAGGGCACCCACACCACAGGCTCACAACACAGGCGAACTTCAGTCCAAGCCATTTATTTCACAGTTTGGGGGCCCCTGAGCCCCTCACCACTCTCAAGCCACTTCCAAAGGGAAGATGTGAACTCACAGGGTAACCTTTGAAAGCTGGGAGGGCTCTCGGGGTGGGGCCAGAGGGTGGGGTGCCTGGTGTGTGCTGAGGGGCAAAGTCAAATGGGGCACGCGGCTCCTGGAGCCAGGGCTTCCCTGCTGACAGGGTGGGGGGCCCCATTTCTCCAGGACGGTGGGCTGCAGTTGCTGGGGACTGAGAGCCGCGCAGGCCCCTGGGAGGCCGGCTGGAGACACACTGGGCACCCTTAGTGTTAGCGGCTGGGCGCGGGGCCACGGGCCAAGTCGGGTGTCCTTCACAGTCGGGAAGCGGGCCGAGGGACCCTGGGCTTTCTGGGTCTGGAGTGACAAATGGTGGGGAAGGCGGTGGGGAGAGGCCTTCAGAACCAGCCTCAGGCAGGAAGGCGCAGGCTCCGAGCCCCAGTCCCTGGACGATGGAGCCGTGGGGCCCTGGCTCCGCGCCACGTGGTGGGTGGCTTCACCCAGCTTTGCAGAGGGGCCGGGAGGGGCTCAGGGCGAGAGCAGCAGCTGGACGAGCTTCTGGAACTGCTCCCGGTGCTCGTAGATGTAGACCTCGGTCTCCCAGAGCGCGTTGATCAGCACCGCGTCGCTGACCTCGTCCAGCATGATGTCCGTGCCCAGCTGGGGGTTCAGTCTGTACAGACAAGGAGGAGGTGTCACCGGGGGTGCCTGGCCTGGGAGGGGACAAGAGCTGGGACTGGGAGGGCTGTCTCCAGGGGTAGGAAAGCCCAGGCCGCCGGCTGGGGCGGGGTGGGCGGCCCGGCCTGGCCTCACCTGAAGTACTGAATGCCGACCATCTCGCACCAGGCCCGCGCCCGGTCCACAGCCCGCCCATCTGGATCTGTGCACTGGGGAGACAGCCTCGGTGAGAGCCTGAGCCTGGCCCTGGCAGCCCTGGAGCCCCCCAGACGTCCCTGGGCTCTAGCTGCCCATCAGCGAGTCCCTCCCCAGGCCTGTGACTGGCCTTGGTTTCCCATGTGGCTCAGCAGTCTGTTCAGGGTCACTGAGTGGCAGCGTGTGCAGCAGCTGGTGGACAGGCCTCCCTGTCCCGCCCCACAGCTCTTGTCCGTGTGTATTCTGGGCTTCCACACAGGGTTCTGGGGTGACAGGGACCCACAGCTAAAGGACACCTGAAAGAGCTGGCCAAAGAGGACCCACAAAGCCTGTCATTTCGCCCCTCGTGGAGGGGCTGACCTAGCTGGAAACCCCGAGGGAAGTGGGCCTGGGGGAGAGGCCCACACTCACACAGTCCACCACCATCTTGCCCAGCTCCTTGGCCCCAAAAACAGTCTTGGCTAGTTCCCAGGGGTTGCTGGGGCGGAAGACATCCACACAGGTCACAGGCACCTGTGGGGACCTCCCAGTCCCCAAAGAGACGACGATGGAGAGTTTCTTCACCTTGTTGGCCTGACCCTGTAAAGAGCAGGATGAGGGGAGTCAGAGGGGACGCTCACTGGACAGTCAGAGTGAGGCCCTAGGCCAGGGGCTGGGAGCACAGTGCACCTGGGGCTAAGCCACCGGTCCTGGGTGCCCTTGCAGGCAGGGTCTGGCCAGGGCTCAGCTATAGCCCCTCTGCTGGAAGGGCTGGTGTGGGCACCACCGTGGTCTACTGGAAAGCACCCTAGGTCCCTCCACGTCCACTGAGCACGCTCGGCCGGCCACGAACTGCCCCAGACCCAGGCTCCCCAGGGGAGGGCGGGAGGCCCCCTCCCTGTGGACTACAGGTGTCCACACCATTATCCCATAGTCCTCCAGCCCGTCTGTGGCGGGACGGCCACCCCACTTCACAAACGAGGATCCTCTGCGCAGTCTGGGCAGGAGGGAGGCCTTCCTGGGCCACGCAGTGGGATGCAGGGCTGAGGCGTGGACCCGGGGTCCTGCGGGGCCACCTCAAGTTTGCTCAACAACCTCTGTTGCCAATTTGCCAGGTGACAATGGGGTGAACCCTCCTGCTCTGGGCCCAGGCTCCTCATGCTGAATGGTATGTGACTTAGACTGGGTACATCTGAGTCCCCCCACGTCATCTGACTTCTTCAGCAGAAGCCCTGCCTGGTCCGCCCCAGAGGGCAGGTGCTCCCCACCCCAGGGCCGCACTGCCCAGGCTGCCCTTCAGACAACCACGACAGCAGGCGCCTCTGGCCACTCAGGCGCTGTTCCAAGGCCTCACAGGCCACCATGTGACCATCCCCGGTGGGCACCATCTTCACCCAGCTCAGCAGCTGGCGCCAAGCAGGGGCAGAGGCAGCCGAGCCCCCCGCTGCCCCACACTGCCTCCCCGGGGCACCAGGCCTCCCGCCCTGCCCCAGCTCCTCAGGGTGGGGCGGCTACTTGTCCTTCCGACACTATCACTGACTCTGCACCTCTCCATCCCCAAAAGCCTCGGGACAGGTCTTCTCAGGTGCGGAGCAGAGACGAGCCACCTGACAGCCCCACCTGCGCTCCATCAGCACCTGGGAGCCCAGAGGGTGTGACCCGAGGGTGTGCTCCTCAAGCGCAGGCCCACAGCCTGGGCTGGGCAAGTGGCGGGTCCACAGGACTCACGCTGCCGCCACTGACGGCAGACGGAGTTAGCAGATGGCAGGATCCTCACACAGGGCCGCCTGGACCCCAGGGTCCCTCTTACCACAGTGCTGCAGGCCAGAGCCCAGGTGGCCAGGATCAAGCGGGCACCACACAGCCCTCCAGGGCTGAGCAGGAGTGGGCCATCGTGGGCCATCGCCCAGCCTCCCCTGGGCCTGAGATGGCGCTCACCTTGCGGATCAGGTCCTGGTTGTACTCGTGGATCTCAGTCATGGCATCCAGGGTGGGGTTGTTGGCCAGCAGGCCGCCATCCAGGAAGCGACCATTGGGCCGGAAGTAGGTGGGGGCCGCCCCGCTGCTCCGGGCTGCTCGCCACACCAACTGGTCTGGGGACAGGGAGGAGGGTGGCCAAGAGACACAGGGATGGCAGAAGCTTATGCATTCCAGATCTCAGGGCGCGCGTGTATATGCGGGAGGGGGTGCAGAAAGAGGGGACCTGGGACTCTCAGTTACCCCAGGCCCTGGCCTCCTGGGGAAGGCAAGTGCCACCGAGGACCTCCTGGGCCTCCGCTAGCCTGCCAGGGCCTGCCAGCTCCCTGTGCCCGTCCTCAGCCAGGCAAGGCCAGGGCGATGGGGGGCTGCAGGGGTGCGGAGCCCGATGGCAAGCCTGTCACTCCCACTCCCACCCTGCGGCCGCGCGGATCCATGAGACGGCCTTAACCTGAGGGGTGAGTCGGGGGCTTCAGGTTGGCACTGGGGCTGAAGCGAGGCTCCCTGGAGGCCTCCGGAGCCTCGTAGTTCCGGAAGAGGTGGAGTTCGGCTGGCTGCCGGTCAGACAGCGTCCCGGTCAGCATCACCCTGGGGAGAAACACACAGGATGGGCATCCCCCCCCAGCTCTCCCGGCTGGCACTCACTCAGCTGCTGCCAGCTGCCCCCAGCCACCACCCTCCCCGCACAGATGTCCCCTGCACACTGCGGGCGGGCAGATCCACACACCTTGCTGAGGCCACCTGGGGTCAATCCTCAGGCCCAGTGACCTGCTTCTGTGAGTTTGTCCTAAGAATGTGCCACATGGGTGGCAGTGTCCATTATTAAAGCAAAACGTGCCCATCAGTGGGACAGTTCCAGATACTGCAGCTCATCCCCCAGGGGACAGGTGGGGCTGCAGAAGGAGCTGGGAGGCTTCATGTACGAGGGCGGGAGGCCAAGTCGCAGGACTGCATAGAGAAGGCTGGGGCCTCTCTGCAGGGTCAGAGGGCGAATCTGAAAGGCCCCATGGTGGCGCTTGGTAGCAGGGATCTGACTTTGGGGTGGGGATTACTTGGAAGCTGCAGCTCCAGGAAGGCAATGAGAGGAGAACTCACCGTCACCTCTGATGCCTGTCCTTTCCAAGAAACAGATGCCCTTAAGCCTGCTGGCACGGCCCCTCGAAAACTAACAGGTAAGCCAGGCACAGACACGCCTGTCGTCCCAGCGACTTGGGAGGCTGAGGCAGGAGGATAGTAAGTTTGAGGCCAACCTGGGTGACAGCAAGACTCTGCCTCAAAATAAAAATTTGGGGATGGGCTGGGAAGTAGCTCAGTGGCAGCGCACCTCTGGGTTCAATCCCCAGTGCTAAAAACAGAGAAAAAGAAAGGGAACCTGATATGTATCTAGATATCCTGGCTCTTGGATCTGAGACTCGCCCCCTGGAAGATCATCCCAAAGGAACAACCTCAACCAGGATGAGGGCTTCCTGTGACTGGAGCTCACAACAGTGGGACTGACAGGGAAAGCCCAGCAGGAAGGGCAAAGGGCGAGGAAGAGGGGACTGTTTTGCAACCGTTCAAAAGAGGCTCACAAAGGGAGCTCAGAGGAGCCCAGACATCTGTTATGCCATGAAAAAAACATAAAGGCAAGGGAACAAAAAACTGTACAGGAAAAAGATGCTAGTTTTCCATTCCCAGGAATACTGTGGGAAGATTAGGAAGAATCCTGCCAAAGAAAAAAAAACGTAAGTGCTGAAAACCACAGACTTTTTTGGTCCCGGGGATTGAACACAGGGGCCCTCGACGACTGAGCCACATCCCAGCCCTATTTTGTATTTTATTTAGAGACAGGGTCTCACTGAGTGGCTTAGCACCTCACTAAGTTGCTGAGGCTGGTTTTCAACTCAAGATCCTTCTGGAAATGGTGTGGCCAGGGCTCTCCCAGAACAAAGACAAGGGGAGTAACTACGTGTAGGAGGTCAACTCTGTTGCGACTCTACAGAACCCCAGTCAGAAGTGTGCTACCGTACGGGGGAGACAAAGGACTAGCACTACGGGAACAAGCCAGGGACATATAAGACAATGAACCTGCAGCGCTCGGCACTCAGGGCTCAGCCTTTGGATACAAATCTGCTGGGCCAGTGCCCGCACAAATAAATGCTGCTTCACGCTGAAAGCCCCATGTCCTGTCTCTCTGTGGGAGAAGCCTGCAACAAAGGACCACGGAGGAAGCAAACAGCTTTATTATGAAAGGAAATTCTCCCTATGCCTCCAGGCCTAGCTCACACTCTGCCTCCTCCAGGCAGGCCTCCCTGACTACCTCACCTCAGTCCACCTCCTTTCTCTTGCTCCTCCAGTCAGCTGACGGACCCTGTTTAACAGCCTGCTCTGTGGCAGGCACTGTGCTTGAATTGGGCTACAAAGAAAATCAAGGGAGCCATGTCCCTGCCTTCCAGAACTCCCAGCCTTGTGGCAACCTTACTGCAGGGTGGGGTGGGGTGTACACTGTGGACTGCAGAGCTTCTGGAACCTCTGCGGCAGGGCTGCCTTGCCTGGCTGCTGTTTTCCAGCTCGTCTCCCACCAGACCGCCAGTGCTCCCAGCCTCTCACCCCCCAGGTGCACCCTCCCTCTTCCCCCCACACAGAGGCTGCAGGGAAGAGGTCCCAAGTGTGCAGCTAGAGGGAACAGCCCCGGCGGGACATCAGACCAGTGTCAGGCAAGGAAAGGCGAAGGCGTGGCTGCTGCTTAGGCCCTATCCCCCACCAACCCAATGGTCACTGGAGGCTGGGTGAACTGAGGGAGGCTTCTGCAGGTGCAAAGGGCTGAGTCTGGAGGACAGTGGGACCCAGCTCTGTGCAGAAGCCAGAGGCAAATCCCTGCTGTGTGTCTTCTCCTTCCCTAGCCCGGCCTCAAGCTCAAGAAGGGGGTCCAGACCTGCCCGAGTCCCACCTCAGGCACCCTTTCCATCCAGCCCCAAGGGAAGGCCCGGATGCTGGGCTTGGTCCTGCAATGACCCTCTTGGGGTTAGGCCTCTCAAATGCTTCCTGGACACGTGACTCTCCTTTAAGCCCCGGCCTCACTATGAGCTCCAGTCTGAGGGCCTTAAAGCAAAGAGAGCACCGCGGCTGTCCACTTGACACCAGGCTTCTGAACACGGGAGCAAGCGCTATTTGAGTGTGACAAAGTGTCCAGCCACATGTTGTAAAGGCTGGGGCTCCTTTGGCCTGGGCAGCAAGAACTGTGCCTCCGTCCAGCTTAAGGGAGGCCCAGGCTCTTTCCAGACAGCCAGGCCCCTGGCCAGGTGCAGAGGTCAGGCCCCGCCTTTGCCCTGGGCTCTCTAAAGGAGAGCCCAGCCTCCTGCAGGGTCCCTCTGCCCCACAGGCCCAGGGCCCTCCAGGCGACTCCTCCCGAGGCCGCAGGGTCAGAGCTGCAGGCGGAGCAGGGCCCTCTACTAAGGCGCACGGTGGACAGGCTTACTTGGGCTTCTTGACATCGGTCATCTTGGTGTGCTCCCCAAACTCCCGCTTCAGGAACTCTTCCAGGGGCCCGGACTCATAGGGCCGCGAGCCCCGGAACACCTCGTCCTTCATGCGGAAGTACACGCCGCGCATGTAGGCCATGGATTTGCCTAGAAGAGGGAGGGGAGCGGTTGGGGGGACCAGGACTCCACAGAGCATCCCGCACACAGGCCGGCACTGGCAGGAGGCAGGGGAGGGAGGCGGTACATCTTCCATGGAACTGCACCTGAACTTCCGGACCCTTCCTGACATCTTCCCTCCCAAGTGGACCGAAAGCGCCCTCCACAGCCCCAAGGCTCTGGGCCTAGAAGTGTGTTCATAATTTTGCAGTATTTTCTTTAAAGAAAGGCCCTCAAAGTGTCCAAGTGTATAAAGGCCCAATCTGGCGGGGCTGCTCCCCGCAGGAGGTTCTCTAGATAGTGTCTCGGGCCCCTGTCGTAGCTGCGGGGCATCTGTAGACCCAGGCTGTGGGAGGACGGTCCCTGAAGAAGGTGGCCCTTCCCAGAGAGGCTGGGACTTCCACCAACTCTGCTGGCCCAGGTCTCATGAGGCAGCTGGGCTGGTCCTGAGAGGACTCTTCTCTCACAGGAGACCAGAAAGGGGGAGAGAGCTGGGCGGAGCCAGACACCAGACCTGCCTCTGCCCCAACTCACTGGGTGACCTGACCTGGTCCTCAGCTTCCCTGGCTGCCCACCTCATGGCTAGGGTGAGACTCGTCAAGACAAACTTCAACACCCCACAAAACTGCTGAGTGACGGAGTTCCCTGCACCCTGCCAAAGGAGCACCCTCCGGATGGAGCTCTTGGCAGCCTCCTGGGCAGGCAAAGCCCCTGCTCCTGCAGCACCCCGCACCTGCCAGCTTGGCCTCCTCACCTGGCCCAGCAGGTGCCCAGATGCCTGTACCCCCATCGACTGGGTTCCCCGAGATGGGAACTCGGCTCTGCATGCCCAGTGCCTGGCAGAGGCATGGCTCACAGGCCTCGATGGCCCCTACCCTGGGGTAGGGTCCTCCCCTATTGCCTCCAGGGCCTTGGGTCACCAGGATCTAGATTTGGAAAGTGGCCTGGAGGTGCTGACCAGAACCAGGCAAGGGAATGCCAGCCAGGGACGCGGAGGGTGACGCACAGCTGGCGGCAGCTGGGCCCTGACTGAGCCTCACGTGGCTTCAACAGCTCCACAGAGAAGCCACTCGAGTGGCGACGTGGGCTTATATGGTGGCCTGTCTAGTATGCCGAGCACCCTGTCACCTCTGCATGGCTCTGTGGAAGGAGACAGATTCATGGCCCGTGAGGCCTGGGACATAGTGGACATAATGGGCGTGTAGGGGACTGCTTTGGCCTGAGCAATACCAGAGATGAGCTCTGTGACCCTGGGCCACCCTGACACCTGGGACCTTAATTTCCAGGGCCCTCCAGGGCTCTGGCCTTCTGTGACTCCATGGCTCCTCATTCCTGACTGCCCACTCCAGCCACACGTGCAGGGGCGGTGAGGACCAGGGCGCTGCCTTGCAGGGGTGGAGGTGGCAGAGAAAGCTGCAGGACATGGCCTCCTACACTAGCCAAACCCTTGAGCTGAGCCCCCACCCGGCCTTGCTCCGTCCAGCCTGGGGCCGGCCCTACGGCCTGCAGACTCCCTCAGAGCCCACCACCACTTTTTTGCAAGGCTATGCCAATGCACTGGCCCCCGTGAGGACAGATAGGACCCACCCTGCCCGCCTGCCCCCTCTCTCGGGGGCTGTGCTCACTGTGCAGAATGGCCAGGGCCAGGATGCCCCCCGTGCTGGTCCCTGCCACCCAGTCAAAGAGGTCCTTGGTGGCCACGCCCGAGGCCCTCTCGATGGCGATGAGCAGCTGGATGATGACCAGGCCTTTCACGCCCCCTCCATCCAGGCAGAGCAGGTGGTCGTGGCTGCAGTGAGGACAGTGCTGGTCACGAGGGAACTGACTTCTGCATGGTCAGCGCGAGCCCCCAAGCACGGGCACCATGGCGCAGGCGGGGACAAAGCCAACGAGGCCTGCCACGGAGCCTCCCTGCGCAGGGCACACGGGGAAGGCCAGGATGCCGCGGGCCAGGCGCCATCCAGGACACGCACACCAGGGTGCCATGGAAACGGGTGATGTCCAAGGTTCACTGACATCTCAGGCAAGGGTGACAGAGCCACAAGATCTGGCTGCTGGCCTGGAAGCCGAGCTGCATCGGATGATAGGAGTGCTGTCCCTGTGGGCTGGGCAGCGGCTGTGCCAGAGAGCAGCAGAGGACCCAGGTCAGAAGGACCCTGGCGTGAGCCTCCATGCTGCACCTTGAGCAGGTCCCTTCCCCTCTCGCGGGCTCAGGCTCTGCATCTGCAAAGCGAGGTTCCCAATCCTCCCTAGGAAGGCCGCTAGAAGGAGGGGAAGGTCACCCCCAAAGAACAACCCGCCAACGTGTGCTAACAGAGGTGGGGAGTCCCGTGGGCTGGAAACCCACTGCCTGTCGCACGCCTAGACCTTCACTCTAGGCACCAGAGCCGGTCCCTTGGGGCAGGACTGGTCCCTCTGTGCCCTCACCCGGGCCTGGGCACACAGCTCAGGAAGCCACGACCATGCTGAGGAAGGGGACGAGGCAGCAGGTGGACACAGAGGGAAGCTGCTGCTGGGATCTCTCCAGAGGGGCCCCTGAGGCCCTCCCGCTCCTCAGACCACGGCAAGGTCAGGACCACACCGTGTTGGCCCTGGCACCCAGCTGCAGGACTACACTGTCCCCAGGACCCTGCACCACTGTCACTAAGGAGCCAATGAAGGCCCTGAGGACTCAGCCTCTGCCATGACTGCAGGAGCGGAAGAGCTGCCTCCCGGGGGCACAGGGGACAGCCTGGGCTGCAGGGGCACCAGGAGAGCTTCACCACGGTCCCCTGCCATGTTGCACTTACGTCCGCTTCTCATCCCTCATGGAGCTCAGGATAAAAGCCGGCTTCCGGGCCCGGGAGATGTGCATGAGGTCCTGCAGTTCTGCGAGGCATAGGGCAGGATGCGCTGGGGCCAGCAGGTCCCTGACCCTGTGCCCCACAGATCCCCAGAGCCAATCTGGAGCTATGCCCACCCACTGTGCTCCCGCCCACGTCTGAGCCCTGGCCCCAGAGCAGAGCTAAGCCAGGGGCCACAGGCCTGCCAAGGAGATGCCCCACTGCTCTGGGAAGGCTCCCCACCCAGTCCAGCTGCTCCCAGATTCTCCTCAGTGTCTTCCTCCTGAAACCCCAAAGCACGAACTCCCGACGTGCCCTGTTTCTCCATGCGTCAGCTCATGCTGCTGACAGCCACCTTGAGGCATAAGGATCATGCCCAACCTAAGCCAGTGCAGGCCCCAAAGAGGCTCCAGGAGGCTCCGTAACTACCCAAGGTCATTCAGCCAAAGGGCTGTGGAGGAGACTGCTTGGAGCTGAACTACATGAATGAAGGGAGACATCCCAGCAGCCTTTGGACTGCTTTGTGTCCTGGTCCCCAGTCGCCTCCAGGCTCAGGTCCACCCATCCAGTCTTCCTCTGTGCCCAAGCCCCCACCCCATGCTCACCCTCCTAACAAGCAGGACAGCCCCCAGTGGCTCTACCCAGCAGGACCATGCGACTGTGACCCTAAAGGCCACTGCAGGGAGGCCACTGGCAGCAAGGCAGGCAAGCTGCACCCAGGCAGGAGCTAGAAGCAGCCAAGGAAGCAGGAGACTGGGCGGGAGGCGGAAGCAGGCAGCTGGGGACGGGGCAGGGAGGGCGCTTGTCTGGGCTGGGAAGAGGAGACGGAACCAGAGCTATGGCCAGTGAGGGGCTTGGCTGGCTCCACGGCCTCGCTAGGCTCAGGCATTACCCATGTGCTGCCACAGCCCAGGCCCACTGTCCAGCCTGGCGTGGGTGACTGACTGCCTGCAAGATGGAAAGATACAGGGGGGGTGACTGGAGCTCTTGGGCGACACGTTGGGGACAGAGGCGGCCGCAGCTGTGTCCCTCCAGAGCCCAGGCCTGGCCAGCGGATCCTCTGCTCACCATCAATCTAGGTCCCTGAGTGGACTAGGTGACAGAAAGCCCGGAGCAGGGTCTGGTCTCGTCTAAGGCTATCTTTGAGGACACCTAGGGTGCACAGGGGCAAATGCTGGCTGCCTGGCCGCACTCAAAAGCATGTAGGTCACTGAAGGGGCCAGCAGGTGGCAGACCAGGCCTCGCACTGGACAGGTTCAAACAAGAAGGCCAGGGGTGTGCGCCTCTCTCAGCTCTCTGCGGGGACAAGGGAGGCCCTGAGAGTGCCCACTTCATGGGTGCCGTGAGCAATACCCAACCGGAGACCATGTCCATCCTCTCAGGGGCGATGGACTGTGGGACCTCAGCCAGGGGCACTCCAGCTCTCTGGGGCCCCTGGGTTGCCACCTGCTGTCGTTAGCTAAACCTCGCCTCATCCTCCCCTGCTGCCTTCAACGACTTCCACCCTGGGGCCCTGCTTCTTTCCAGTCGGGACTCTGGTCCAAGGGCCTGGGCACGCAGCAGAGGGGTGGGCGTGGCCTACCTAGGTTGTTTAGGCTGATCGGCGGGGGCTGGGCTCTTTCCGGGAAGATGAGGGGGTGAGAGGAAGCCGTGGAACCCTGCTCTGTGGGAACCTCTTGGAGGAGTGAGATGCGGTAGTTGGCCCCCACGGTTCTCAGCAGAGTCAAGAGCGCCTTCCTGGTGGCATCTTGTCATGGTTTGGCAGAGGATAGAGATAGTGTCAACATGCAAATAAGAGGCCCCTCCTTCCACACATGGACCCCTGTCCCATCTACCAGGTGACCCAGATGTGGGTGGGGCCACCCTGACAGGGTGTGCCCCTCTGTCTGTCTTGTCCAAAGCAGTCTCCTGGGGCCAGATAAGGCGCTGGGGCTGGCCATGGCACAAGGCAGGAGGAGGGCAGAGTCACCCTGCCTGATTATTTTGGGGAATCCCTTCTTTCCTCCCACTTCCAAGGGACCAGGGCTCCCACTTCCACAATCAGCAGCTCTCAAAAATGCCACGTGGATGTTCCTTTCAGAGTTTGAAAGGGACAAACCAGCCAGCCAGCCCTCAGTGGATGGGGTGATGGAAAGGATGCCATGGGAAGCAGCACCCCCATCTGCGCACACCCACCCTCGGGTACACACCCACAGAACCCCACGGCTCCCTAAAACCCTCCATCCTCCAAAGGGGGCCCCAGGCTCCTGCGAGGACCTGCCTCTCGGAGCTCTGGAGCAGGGCTCAGCGGGCAGGGCGCAGGGCCGGCACACGCACACTCGCGTCCACAGGGAGGTGCAGGCTCGTGCAGGCATGTGCACACTCGTGCTCGTGCACACTAGAGTGCAGCGCATGCAGGAATCCCACAGCTATTCTGCTGCCACCTGTCCTGTCCCCACCCCCACTGGCAGCCTGAAAACCCTGACATGGGCCAGGGTGCACAGAAGAGGACCCTTGCTCAGCCAGCCCTGGGTGGGCTGCACCCACACTCAGGGCCACTGTCTTGGGGGAAGGAAGTTCCTGGAGTCCCACATGCTCAGGGCCACTCTCAGCAGGCAGCAGCAGGGCCTAGGGCTGGAACTTGCCTCTTCTCAGTCCCTGAACCCAAACCCCGCTGGATTCTGATCCCATAGGTCAGAACACGTACGTCTGCTGATCTTGGAGGCTATGAGAGCAGGAGTCTCCCCAAAGTCATTCGGGACATCCACTTCTGCCCCGAACACAATGAGGGCCTTGATCATCTCCACGTTGTCTTTCTGTTGGGGCAGAAATGCAACAGCTCACGAAACAAAGAGAAAAGGACCCCTTCCTGCCAACTCACTCTGTGGGCCTCTCAGCATGGGTAGAGACACGTGCCCCAGGGGTGTCGGCACTCCAACATCTGTGGCTGAAAATCAGTCCCTTACAAATGGGCTTCAAAGTATCCCCAGATAAAGGCTTAAGAACTCAGGCAGGAACTGGGGGTGACTCACCCAGGCTCCTCCTCCAAGGAAGAAATGTACCTGTGACCCCAACCCAGAAGTCCTGGGGACACTGAAGAGCCAGCTACTGGTGGCTTTCCGGAGCAACAGGAGAGGGTGACTGAGGAACGGGAAAGCCGTCCTCCCCACGGAGTCCAGGGAAACTGAGCACAGCCTCCTGACAGCGGCCTCCAGGGGCAGCTTCCCTCCACAGTGTTGCATTAAACTGGTGGCTGGGCGGAGGGTGGACATGACCCGGCGGCAAAGGACAAACCAATGCACTGGCTGCCTGCAAATTGAGGCAGTGTATCTCTACAGGATTCCCGTTCCATTAGGGTTTATATGGGTGCAGGAAAATATGGGTTTTAATTACTAGTTGACGTATTTCTCTTGGGGTTTCCTTTTATGTGTGGCACTGGTTTGTCACTTATACTAGTGATAAAAACTTTGCCTTCCAAATAAATTTAAGTAATGTTTTAAAACAAGCAAGTTTGAAGAAGTGATCAAGTACATTGAAAAGGTGCTTGATGAAGATGCCCCAAACAGATGGTATGCAAATGACCAGCGCATCGGGAACAAGGCGCGTCCTCAAAGTGAGACCTGCGGGTCCCAGGAATGCAGAGACCCCTTCACAGGGTTTTCAAAGTTAAAGCTATTTTCAGAAAAAATACCAAGACTTCACCTGCCTTTGGCACCTTGTTTACATTTGCACTAACAGTGAGAAAACAGTAGATTAAATTGTTGGTGGCTCAAGAGAGGGTATCAAACTAATAGCCGGCTCATATTTCTTCACTACTACACACTCAAAGTACAAAAGAAGTTTTTGAAAATAAATAAATAAACTCGCTTCACTGAAGAATGCCCTTGAGGGCTGGGGTTGTGGCTCAGCGGCAGAGCACTCACCTAGCAAGTGCGAGGCCCTGGTTCCATCCTCAGCACCACAATATAAATAACTAAAATAAAGGCATTGTGTCTACCTACAACCAAAAAAAAAAAAAAAAATGAATGCCCTTGATAAAGCATTACAAGAAGAATTACATGGCTGCTTCAGTTACCAGCCCAACTAGCTCCTTTTTTTATGGACATAATTTTTTTTTCTTTGTGGTGCTGGGGATTGAACCATGCAAGGCAAGCACTCTTATCAGCTGAGCTGTAGGCCCAGCCCATGGACATGATTTTTATTGGAAAGAATGACTGACAGATAAACCAGGAGCCTTCAGCCTTAGACATTCAGGAGACATTTTCCTCAAAAAATGAATGCAGTCAGCCTGTTGTTTCAAGAAAACCAACTGGCAACTTCTTTTTTCCATAATAAAATTGAAGCTTCCAAGAAAAAATAAGAATTTCGGAAAACCTGAATGTGTCATGATGGGCTGAACATCTTCCCCCAATTTAAAGACTTTTCTGATGAGGCAGGTGGCAAGATTCACAAATGTAGGTTTTTGACACAAGGCTGAGCATCCCCTAATCTGAAAGTATGAAATCCAAAATGCTCTAAGAACTGGAATTTGTACCTCAAAGTTTCATATTTCTGACAATTTCATATTTTCAGATTAGGTATAGCCAAAGGGTAAAGTCTATGCAAATATTCCAAAATTTAAAAAAAAAAAATTGAAATCTGAAACACTTCTGGGCTTAAGGATTTCAGATAAGGGAAGCTCAACCTATACTGTCCAACGAGACAGGTCAACATTTGGAAGCTATGCAAACTCAGTGCACCAATATTTTCCAAGAATGACACAAAATCCTGCATGGGTAAAAAAAAAAACATGCAAAGTACAAGAGATACCAGTGGATATTAAAAAAAAGATTGAAAAGTTCATGGAGATGGTTTCTGATTGCCCATTGCAACTGTGTCAGAAACTGTTACTCGTTGAGTTTGGGTGTAATACTGAACAATATCTACAATTACCCGAAGAGGTACAACTTCACATCTTTTCCAACTATATACCTGTGAGGCCAGACTTTCTTCATACTCTTCAACTAAACAGCATACTGTTTAGAGAATAGGTATAGTAGAAGACATGAGAACCCCTGTGTTTTCTGTGAAGGCAGGCATTAAAAAGATTCACAAAATGTATAATGATATCAACCTTTCGCATTCATCAACTATTTTTTGTTTTGGAAAATAGAGTTGGTTCTCCATGAAAATGTCATTGATGTTATTTGGCATGTGCTTGGTTCATTACTGTTTTCTTTTTTGGGGTGCTGGGGATCTGGGAATCTAACCCAAGGCCTTATGCACACTAGGCAAGTGCTTTACCCCAACCCCTGACCCATTTTTAAATGAATTAATAAATATTTTGAAAATGTCTTAAACTTCTGAAGTAGCAAATATAGATAGAGGAAATTCATATAAATGAAAGTCTCTGGGATCATTAATATTTTTTAAGAGAATAAAGGGATCAAACAGGCCACAGCCTTCGAGAACTGCTTAACTAGATCACTCCAAGGGCCCAGTCAAGAGCTAAAAATGTCCAGTCTTATTTATAGTTTTAGTCTCTTGGGCAACAATGTCTCTGCCACAGTTCTGACCTTTGGTACAAAACAGGATATCTTTGAATTTGTCCTGACTCTACTTCTTTTAGAGTCCCAGGGGTCTTTCCTGTTCTGAGACTCCCTAGACAGATGAACTTTCATAAAGACCCCACGGCACGTGCGCGCACACACACCAATGTGTGCCTGTAACGCATCTTCCACTCTCTGAGGAACAACATTCCTGATGGAGTCTGAGGAGGCTCGGGGCTTTAGGGCAGGAATTACCCCCCACCCTCTCCATCTGAATAAACCCCACCCCACCCCCCACCATGGCTACTGCTGTCCCAGGGCTTGCGGTCCCCCCTAGGGAGATGAGGAATCCACAGGACAGTCTGAAGGGCAGCAGCACCCTTCCCTGGGTGGCCGCCCCCTGCCAGATACTTCCTATATCCTGCAGACACTGCGCACAGAGCCACCTCCTGCCTGCCATTTAATCATTGTGATGACTTTCCTGGCTGGGCAATGACACCCCATTTTCCAGAGGCTGACAACGGATGAGACTTGCCCCAGACCACAGCTGCTGGCAGCCGGGGTGGGATTCTCCTTCCTGCCACGTGAGTGCTGGGACACAGGAGGACAAGCTCCTGGAGAAAGAGGAAGGACGTGTCATTTGGGGCTGAGGGGGGTCACGGAAGGCTTCCTGAGGGAGGAGGCAGCGTCTGAACTGAGCCTTAGAGGGAGAAAAAGACCGTGAGCAGCGGAGGGAAGGGGGGCTGAGGGCTGTGAGCCCCGCTCTGAGGTCTCCTGCAGGCCCACCCGGGCAGCCAGGCAGTGGGGCGCGGGGCAGGCTCACCGACATGGCCAGGTGCAGTGGGGTGTTGCCGTTTTCGCCGCGGGCGCCCGCGTTGGCCCCGTAGGTCAGCAGCACCATGACGCAGTCGAAGCGGTTGCGCATCACTGCCACGTGCAGGGCCGTGTTCCCCGAGGCGCTGGTGCTGTCCACGTCGCAGCCCCGTTTGAGCAGCATACGGGCCATCTGGGGGCGCAGGCCAGGAGGAGTCAGGGGGGAACTTGGGGAGCAGCCGTTGTCCACGGCAACTGGGCACTGTGCTCCCTCCCCGAGAGGCCCTCGGGAATTGAGGCCTCTGGAAAGCTCCAGCAACGCAAGAGTCCAGAGGCAGGTCCCGGTTACGGGGTGGCCCTAGGCCCTGGCTCCTACACCACAGCACCCCAGGAACAAGGGACAAAGAGCCAGATGTGCTGTTTCTAGGGCTTCCGGTCCCTTCCTGGAGCGAATCCCCATCCCTCCCTGCCAAGGCTCCTCTGGGCGCTGTTCCTGAGCTGCTGCCCTCCCTGGGGCCCTGCCAAGGCATCACCCTCACTGGGCCTTGGCAGCCACATCCTTGCTCCCTGCAGTCCAGAAGCAGAGGGGCCAAGGGGACGAACCTGGACTTTGGCACCAGACACACTCTATTCTGTAGATTTGGGACTGCAAGTCCCTACTGCATAGGGTGTGGTGACAGTAAGGAACCATACATGAAAGGGCCTGACTGGTGTGACACTCCGGGTACACAGACGTCCCCAGAGGCTGGCACCTCCTCCTCCTGGCCTGGCAGGCCTAGAGTAGGCCGGGTCGTGGGCATGCATGGACTATAAATGGCACTTCCTGGTGATGAGACCAGAGGCCCCATCCCAGCTCAGCTGGGATCACAGTTGGGATGCCCAGCCAGGCACTCAGGGCCAGCTGAGCAAGCACTGTGACCACCAGCACACCACCTCCTATTTGCGAGGCACTTTACAATTCATGCAGAATGTTCTCAGGCACTACCAACCCACACCTGCAGATACGCCAGAAGACCCTGCTTCATGGAAAAGAAACCAAGGCACAGAGGGGACGCTGCCTCCAGCCAGTGAGCAGCAGAGCAAAGACAGGACTTCGCCTCTCCTTGGGCTTATCTCCCACGGGCTCACTATGAGACCAGCCCCCAAGGGCCACCTTCAAGATCCTCTGGAGCCTCCTGTCTGCAGGTGCTGACAAACACAGGGCTCTGTCCTGCCCTGGCCCCCACTCACCTCAGCATTCTTGGCCCAGTGGAGGGGGCTGGCCCCATAGCGAGGGTCCTTGCTGTGGATCTGGTTGCTGTCCATGCTGATGATCATCTCAGCGCACCTGCGGGGAGAGGGCCACGCAGAAGTGAGGAGAGGCAGGCAGCTGGGTGCTGGGTTGGCCGTGACTCGGGGCTTTGCCTACTGATGAGGGATAGTTTCCCCTGCATATAAAGTCGCAATGAAGCCAACCCACTGGCCTTGGCAACGATTTCTTCGCACTCTAAAAACTCAGGACGCAAAGGCAAAAATAAATCAAGGCAACTATGTTAAAGGAAAAGCTGCAGCTCAGCAAAGGAAACAAGTAACAAAACAAAAAGTAACACGTGGGGGGCGGGGTTGCAAACCACATATCAAGTAAGAGGCTGAGACCCAAGTTTATTGAGAACTCTTGCAACTCAATAGCCAGAAAACAACCGATAAATTGTAATGGAATTTCCTTCCTTTTCTGGCTAAAAAAATAATAATTAATTTAAAAAAATCCTAAACAATTGAATCACATATTTTAAATAGATGAATTATACGGCATGCAAATCACATCTCAATGAAGCTGTTGAAAAAAAAGAGGGGGCTGGCTGGGGCTCAGTGGCAGAGCGCTCACCTAGCCCGTGCGAGGCCCTGGGTTCGAATCTCAGCACCACATAAAAATAAAATAAAGATGTTGTGTCCACCGAAAACTAAAAAATAAATTTTAAAAAATTCTCTCTCTTTCTTTAAAAATAAAATAAAATAAAGGTATTGTGTCCAACTACAACTCAAAAAAAAAAAGAATCCAGTTGTAGGGACAGCCTGCCTGAGTTTAACGCCCTTTGCACGAGCGCCTGGCCTTGGGCAAGCTACTTAACCTAAGACTTTGGTCCCTCATCTATAAGATGGGATAAGATACAGCAGCTCACTGGGTTGCTAGGAAATGCACCCAAAGGCGGGGCAGCAGGGGCTGCCATTCGTACCTGTGACCGCCATGACGGTGGTGTTGGTGCCCCCAGAGTGGAACAAGAGCCTCATCTCCCGACAGCCCTCATGCCAGGGCCAGGAGCCCAGCTCTGGGCTGTGCAGCTGAGCCCACTTCCTCCCCTGGGCTCTCGGGCCTCCGGCTCCAGGGGGCCTCTCGTGGCCAGGCTCGAGCTCCACTCCCCCTGAGCCTTCCCTGAACCCCGCTGCCTGGACACCCTCCTGAGCTCGGAGGGTAACCCGCGTGCCCTCCGTCTCTGCCCTCTCACTACCTGGCCTCACATTTCCCTTCCTCCAGGATGGGGACCTCAACACCTGAGTGCAGGCACACGCCCAGCTCTGGTCAAGGTCACTGAATTGACAGACACAGCAAAGGGGCTGCTAGGCTGAGCCAGGACAGGGGCTCTCAGAACAACTGACACGCAGGACACACGCACTTCTTAGAGAACATGGCCGGCTCCATGTGGAAGCTGTCACCCTGCTGGGTTTAACACAGCACAAGACATTCCCTTGGTCCTCTGTGCAAGGATCCTCCTAGTGTGCTCAGATGCCAGGCCCATACAGGATGGCCCGGGGGGCAGAGGGGAGATGGCTGAGGGGCAGAAGAGGGAGGCATGGGGCAGTGACCAGACTCCTGCACAAAGAAGCCTGGGGTGGTTAGAGGCCAGCAAGAGCTAGGTATGTGTCAGCCCCCTGGGTACAGAAAAGCATCACCTGTCACTTGGTGTCCTTTCAGGTCACAACCCGCAACTAGGCCACCTGACCACTGGGGGTGTTGGTATTTTCTGTAACCATTTGGTCAAGTCTTTCTGACAAGTTCCAGTCCATTTTGGCTGTGCTAGGGAAAATCAAGAAAGCAGGGTTTAGGCTGGGTATGGTGGGGCACGCCTGGAATCCCAGCAACTGGGGAAACTGAGGCAGGAAGATCACAAGTTTGAGCCCAGCCTCAGCCATTTAGCAACACCCTGTCTCAAATTTTTTAAAAATTTAAAAAGAGTCAGGGATGTAGCTCAGTGATAAAGCACATCTGGGTTCGATTTCTAGTATCAAAAAAAAAGGAGGCAGGTTCATCCCAGCTGAGACAAGACCTCACGAGGGACAATGGTGTCCCGTGGGGCCAGGGAAGTAGGCGCAAGCCGCAGGGAAGGAAAGCCTCCTCGTCTGCACACACGGCCCTCCAGCAGGTTGCACTGCCAGGTTCTGGGTGACTTGGGGTCTCCTGTCCTGCAGCTGCTTGGTTCAGGGCTCATTTTGTTCATTTCTGGAAGGCCACAGGGTCAATGGGGCAATGAAGTCATTCACCCATTCATTCAATCTAGATACCATTCCTGCTAAATGCTACTTTGTGACATTTCGCCTCTTTGATTCCACTCCCCACTCATACTGGTAGAAGAACTTTTCAGAGGCTGAGTTTCCCAAGTCTGGGAGAAGGGGACAGATAAGACAGTGTCTAGAGCTCCCAGGACATGGGCTCAGCACTGCCACCATCCAGGAGGGAGCAACGCATCTGGCCAGACAGGACCCTGGCCAAACTGGCCAAACATCCCTGGGCTTTGAGCCAGGCTCAGAAGCCACCAAGCACTGCAGCCAGGAAGGAGGAGACCCCTCCAAGTCTCAGCTTGCACCGAACTGCAGAAGGTGGAGCTGCGAGTGGAGCAGGGTGAGAAGGGAGGACCTCAGGAAAGACCGAGACTGCAGGACCTTCTCCATGTTGGCAGAGGGAGGTTCACGGTCAGAAATTAAGGTGTGTACAGAAAAATTCTGAAAGTTCCATTCCTTGCATAGGTGAGCTTGTGGAGCAAGTTCACAGCCACCACCCCGTTGTCTGGAAGCCCCTGGCGTGCAGCTGACATGCATCTGATGAGGCTCAGGGACCTGGGCCTCTGCTCTGAGGTCTGTGGAAGATCCTGCTCCCTGGGGCGGAGGGTGGTCTTACCCCTTCTGGGAGAACTTCATGGCCGTGTGGATGGGGTAGCCCCCGGGCCCCACGATGTTGCACCGGGCGTTACACAGCAGCAGCACGCGCACCATCTCCTGCTTCCCCATCTGGCAGGCCAGGTGCAGCGGGGTCAGCCCTTGGTTGTTCACCTGGTTCAGGCCAGCAGAGGCGTTCTTCCCTAGGAGCTGACAGCAGGACATCAGGGACAGGCTGGAGCCTGACAAAGAGAAGCCCCCTGCATGCTCCCCGGACACCCACCGGGGCCACCTCTCTGGGGAACTGAAGGGGAAGGGATTTGATGCCCTGAGGATGCCACTAAGAAAATAAAGAAGACCAACAGGGCAAGGGGGCTGTGGGAAAAGCAGTGGCGCACCAGGTGGCCAGGGCGACCGGGGAGGGGCGGCCACTGGGCTCACAGCAGAGTCCCTCAATCAAGAAGCTTAGAAGGTGGTGGCATCTAGGGACGGGCCCTGAGGTTCTAGGTAGAAGCCTTTCTTGCTATCCATTTTATTCTCCTGTTCAGCTTCAATGTTTTTTCTACGTGCAGATGTTATACTTTCAAGAAAAGGACAGTTGTTCCTTGATATTAGTTCCAGGACACATGTCCCCATTCCAAAGTCCCTGGTTGTCTATGTCCTTATATGAATGTTAACACACACCCTCCCACGTTCTCTGTTGCATTGTATTTATTTATTTATTTTGAGGCTGCCCTTGAACTCTGATCCTCCTGCCTCGGCCTCCCAGGTAGTGAGGTTAGAGGTGTGCCACCATGCCCGCCTCCTACGCACTTCAAATCATCTCTGATAACCTGCAGGACCGGATGCAATGTAAATTCTATATGAAAAATTCTCATACTATGTTGTTTAGGGAATAACCACAAGAAAAAAAGTCTGTCCATGTTCAGTACAGAAGCAATGTTTTAAAAACATTTCGATTCTCAGTTGGTGGAGTCGGTGGATGTAAAATCCTCAGATATGGAGACCACTGTCCTGGTACAGTCGAGAGGGGTTTGTTTCTCACTGTTGCTGCATGCTATCTCCTTGAGGTTAATTATGGCCACTGGACACCCATGTGACATCAGGATCACCTCATGGTGACCCTGGGCCTACAGGCCGGCTGGTGACACAACAGGGCTGACATCAAGGTTGGAGGCCAGGGCCACCTGCCTCTTGCTTTGTGGCCCTTAGTGGGGCCTGAACCTCAGTTTCTTTGGAGAGAGTAAGAAGTGGACAATGCCCCAGCCAGGGGCCTCCTGAGGGTGGACCAGAGCACAGCATTCAGGACAAGGCCAGCCCGTCAGCAGTTGATCAAGAATAGTGACCAGAGAGTGTGTTCCTGGCCTCGAGGTAGTGCCCGCAGCACAGTCTCAGGGAACACTAAGCACAAGGTACAGTTCACAATTTCCAGAAGAATCCGATGCCAAGGCAGAGACAAGGACATACCCTTCAGAAGGGGCTGCTCTTTCTAGATGATTAAAACATTATGTGATATTCTCCTGTTTTCTTTCAACCTAATACAGTAGCTTTTAAATAACAATTAAAAAATAAAAAAGCCTTCTAAGTAATCAAAAAATTAACACAAGCACCTCTGACACACACACCTACCAGAGCCAGGAGTCTGGTTTGTTTTTTTGAGTTCCTGGAGCCAGAGCCCCCAAGCAAGGTCTGACCTGGAGGCACCAGCCCAAAGGGCAGGCTCACAGAGGGCAGGCTCACGGCGGTGTAACTGGCCGGAGATGGATGTGGATGTGGTTTAGTTGGCTGGGTTGGGGGATTTTCCCAGGCTGTCACAGCAGAGGCCAACCTTGTCTCCTGACAAGTGTCACGTGACACACGAGCCCAGGGCCTCTGAGAGAACTGCAGTACGGTACATGGAGGTGTGGTCAGAACCACTACCTGCCCTGCCCCTGCTCACCTGCAGCACCTGGGAGTTGCCACCCTGCACAGCATAATGGAAGGCAGTCTCTCCCTTGTTGTCGGTGACGTCCATCTGGGCATGGCAGTACTGCACCAGCTCCACCAGGATCTCGCCATCCCCCTTTCGGCAGGCCAGGTGCAGGGGGGTGCAGCCCTCCTCGTTCTCCGTGCTGTTGGCACAGCTGCAGGGAGACAGGGGAGTGATCAGACAGGGGCCAAGAAGCCCAGGCACAGAACGGGACGCGGGCTGGGGAGTCAGGACATGCTGGTGTCTGTGCTAGCAGTCCCACCCCACTCAAGCAGGCCGGTTCAGACTCAGGGCTGAGTCGCCACTTATCGTGTTTCTGATGATTTGTATCAGGGTTTAGTTCACTTTCACATCTGAGTGAGAGAGGTGACCCAGGGCCACACCAGCATGAGGTGGGCAACGGGGTGACATGGAAAAGGGCACAGGACACAGAAATCCTGCTAACCTTGACCAATGCACTTAACCTCTCTGGGCTTAAATGTCATGTACAGAACCTGCTGCACCTGCCCAGGAAACTGATCTGTTGTGACATCAGACACCTTGACGTCCAGGATCCTGCATGTAAACATGAGTACAGTGGGGCCTAAGCTGCAGGCCCAGGGGCTGAACCAAGTGGTCCTGGGGGGAGAACCAGAGGAGGCGTGGCTACCTCTGGGCACTGGCCAGTTGGCATCCTGTACAAGAGCTGGCAGCGTCCTCTCCATGGGTCTCACTGCTGGCCCAGTGGACACACCACAAAGGCATCCAGCTGCCAAAAGGGCACCAGACCTTTGAAGGAGACACCAGGTGGGAGCCCCCACTCAGCCCTCTCCAGCTGAGGACTGGGCATGCTCTATTGCTCCTGACCTGAGTCGGCCTTCCTGAGTCCTGACCCAGGGCCAGGCGGCTCCTTTTTAGTTCAAAGTAACCCAGCCCCGCGCACCTGATGATGCGGCTGTGATGGAAGCACTCGCGGATCCCCAGCTCCACGGCCAAGTGCGCCACGGACCAGCTGGGGTGGTTGCGGATGAGGTCGGTCAGGTGCTGGAGGGCCTCGAGGTGCAGGACCTGCAGGGAGCTCTCGTAGAAGGGCGGCAGCTGCGATGAGAACTGCTGGAAGTGCACCACCGCGTCGGCCTCCGACTCCAGCTGGAAGAGTCTGCGGCAGGACAGCAGGTGACCGGACAGAGCCAGGCAGGCCCCTGAGCCCTGTGCAGTCGCAGCCATGGTGTCCCCATGCAGGCCACCAGAGCCAGCCTCATTCCCGCCCACACCCCTGAAAGAAGCCTGGCTTGGACTTGGAGTGCAAAACCACCCCCCCACACTGGCTTTTATATTTGATTTAACCAAAGCTCTGTCACAGCCCCTTTCTAATTTGATCGTCACATCTCAGGCCTTAGTCTCCAATATCTGGCCCCTTGTACATGGTAAGAATTTAACGTAAACATCCAGCAATAGAAGAGCATATAAATTGGGATACATCCGTGGGATGGACACGAACACGGAGGGCTGGGGCCGGGGCTGGGGCTGGGGCTGAGCGGTAGAGCGCTCGCCTGGGTTCCATCCTCAGCACCACGGAAATAAAATACAGATACTGTGTCCACCTAAAACTAAAAATAAACAGTTTTAAAAAAGGACATGGAAATATTTATTTTGTAAAAAAGCAGAATAAAAATCATAAATGTTAGGGGGCTGGGGATGTGGCTCAAGCGGTAGCGCGCTCCCCTGGCATGCGTGCGGCCCGGGTTCAATCCTCAGCACCACATACAAACAAAGATGTTGTGTCCCCCGAATACTAAAAAATAAATATTAAATTCTCTCTCTCTCTCTCTCTCTCTCTCTCTCTAAACAATCTTCTTTAAAAAAAATCATAAATGTTACAATGTGACTACAACTCTGTAAAAAAAGACTAGAAGGAAATATGTCAAAATCTGCATGATATTATAATAAATAACTTAAATGTTCTTATTCATTTCTGTAGTTTCTAGATTTTCTATAGTGAGCATATGTTTTTATAATCAGAAAACAATTTTTTGTTATTTTTAAGAAACTGGGTTTGAATTCAAGTTCTGTTATTAAATTGTTGTGTGGCTTTGAGAAAACCCTTTCCCTCCCTGAGCCCCATTTGAAACAAAGACTAATTGTATCTGTCCCTCCTCCTCACAGGAAGCCGTAAGGACAGATGAGAAAGCAATACGACCACACTAAAGCCATGATAACCCATGTCAGTGATGGCCACTTGAAATTATTTTTTTTTTCTTTTTTGGTTCCAGGGATCGAACCCAGGGTAACCACCGAATCATATCCCCAGCCCTTTTAAGTTTATTTTTTACTTAGAGACAGGGTCTCCCTGACTTGCTTTGGACCTTGCTAAATTACTGAGGCTGGCTTTGAATTTGTGATCCTCCTGCTTCAGCCTCCCAAGCCAACGGGGTTACACCACCGAGCCCAGCAGCTACTTGAAATTGTGATCAGGGTTTCAACATACCAGAAGGTTCTGCCTCACCCACACAAGCCCAGCAGCCAGCTGGTCTAGAGGAGGCAGGGCCCAGTGTGGGCTCAACAGAGGGCAGGCCCTACACAGCGGGATCACTTACAGCCACCTCCTGAGCCTGTGGCCTGTGCCAGACCCCGTTCTAAAGGGAGAGGAATGAAGAGACCGTGGGTGACGCCCTGCCCTCCCAGAGCCTGTGTTCTTAGAGATCAGCAAGAAGAGGAAGATTTTAAAAGCCACAATGAAGACAGAACTGGGCGGACTGTCGGGAAATAATTGCTACGGGAACAACAACCGGCACAAAGTGGGAAGGACAAGGAGGCCCCCCAACACGCCCCCCCACACACACACACACACCGCCCCTCGGCTAGTGGGTTCCATCTCACCACTCACCAACCCAACCACGGGGAGCGCAGCTGCTGGGCAGACGGAGCAGCCAGGAATCGGTCACTGGGTCCGGCACCAGGGCTGTGGAGTGGCCCCGACAGGAGCCTTCAGTGCAGTGGTGGGACCACAGCCTGTCGGGAGTGGGCTTGAGGAATGGGGAAGTAAGGAATTGTGGGTGGCAGGTGCAGATGACGTTCCCAGGAGGCTGCTGCCAAGGAGCACACGCAGAAGAGGAGCGATGGGTAAGGGCACAGGCCTTTGAGTGACCAAGGGGACGGCAGGAAGGACCGCCCAGTCCACCATGGCAGATGATGAAGGAGACACAGACGCCCACGGCGCCCAGCCCAGGGGCAGGACAGGAGATCACAAGATGCTCGCTGCCTCTTAAGACCGTGATGAGCTACCCGACTGGGAAGGGGTGGCAGAGGCCAGCCCTGCCTGAGTCCGGAGTCAAGGGATGGATGCTGTTTGAGAGGACAGAAGATAAACCGCATGCTGACAGCCTCCTGGGACTCAGGCCAGGGGTCTGCCGGGGCACAGCCCGGGGCGCACCTCTCACTTTGGGTGGGATCCAGAAGGATCACAGTCCAGGAAGGAGGCTGAGGCACACAGGGCCAGGTCCTCCCAGGAACACAGCATGGCCTCAGACCACTCGGTTCCAGAAACTGGAGTGAGACTGACCGACTGAAACTGTCCCCGGGTACCCAGGAGAAGCCAAATAACTCTGCTCCCAGTGGAGAATCATCAACTAGGCTTCAGTTGACTCCCACCAGTTCATTTGCAAATACAATGTTCAGCACATCCTCAAACTCACAGGACAGGTGGGCTCAGACAGGAAAGAAGGCAACAGGGACAGGTCTGTAAGGGGGCTGTAAATACTGAAGTTCTCTGATGAAGACTTTAAAATAATTATGGTAACACTCAAGAAGATAGGAAATTGAGAATTTTTACAAAGAACTTGAAACTTTGAAGAAAGAATCAAATAGAATCCTAAAATACAATTGCCAAATCAGGAGCTCAGCAGACAGGCATATTAGCAGAACAGCCAGTGACGAGACAGAACTAGCGAATGGTGTGGGGGCAACACGAATGACCACGCCCTCCAGTCCTGATGCCCCAGCCTCTGGCCAGCCACTGCATTCGTGGTGGCCTGGTCACAGACAGCTCAGATGGCAAGGAGGTCTTCTTTGGGGGGCGTGCCCCTAGGGCTGAGTTACACTCACCTGTTCCCTTGAGTCCTGCCCCTTCTGCCCTTTTGTGGACAGAACTTTCTAAGAACAAGAGTCTCCCCCAGAAAAAGCCCCCTTTGGACCGTGCTCCCTCTCTCTCTCTCGTCAGCCTCTTGTCACCTTCTCTTGCTCTCCCTTTTTGGGAGCCAGAGGCCGAGGGCCGGGCAAGTGGCCCTGAAGCTCATGTAAAGGTAAATTGTGTCTGTGTTTTATTTTGTGTCCCTGTAAATTCACACGAGTGATCTTAGTTCAGCTGCCTGCGCTGGTCGGGGGCAGCAGGTGGCGCGGGGACCAGGGACGCTGGGTGGGTTTCCAGGTAGCCCTGGGGGAGCGCGCTTCAGAAATGCTGTGACGCGCGATGTGGGTTGGGAAGAAGCAGCCGACTAGAGCCAGGGACGTCAAAGAACTCGACGGGCAGAAAAAGGTTTACCCGATGACCCTGGACACTCTAATTAAGTGGAGAGGGACACGGTCGGGGCCCAGCTGGCTCAGTTCCTGAAAACAGAGAGTGACGTTCTGTGAGGAAGAGTCACCAGATCTTCGTGCTTGGGAGTGGCTCAGTGGAAAGTGTCTAGGGCACCTCTCGGTCGAGCTGACTCCGGGTACAGGGAGAATGGTCCAGTCTGGACTGCCCTGGGGTGTCTGGGGACGGAGGGAGGGCTCCGGTGCCCGGGACACCTGGGGAAGGGGCAGGGCTCCAGAAAGCAACGAGAAGTCTGGGGCAGGAGAAGCCCAGGCGGCCCGGGCGGTTTGGCCTTTGCTTGGGGTCAATTCTCGCCCATCCAAGCAGATGGCAGATGGCAGCCTCGGGGAGGCCCGAGACCAGACCTTCAGTCGCCGCTGGACCAGACAGAGCAGTGACTTCGAAGGTGCCAACCGGAGGCGGGGGGAGGGGCGCGGCTAGCAGGAAAGCAGCCCGGTGGGCTCCGTGAGGCAGTTCAAGATGAAGGGGAGGAAAATGGATGGGAGACACTGACGAAGCTGAGCCACAGTCCGAGGACCCCAGCCAGAGGGTGAGGACGACCCAGAGGAGGCCCGGGGTCCATTACGTCTGGCTGGCCCCGCGCCCGCCATCCGGGTCCGGCCACTCTCCTCTGGAGAACGAGGTCCCATAACCACTCTGGGCTAGAGGTAGCCTCGCTTGCGCCCCTCCAATGTGGCCTTAGGACAGCGCTGGCAATGGGGAGAAAGATCAGGGAAGTAAGCAGAATACAACATGGAGAGGAAACGGGAACCTGCGGGACGGCAGGCGAGACGTCAAGCACACAATGAGCAGCTCCCCCTTCAACATGGGTGAGTCCAAATCAGAACAGAAAATGCAGCAGACAGGCCTCACTTGAACAACGGACGCCTATGCTTTCCAAAACTGTTTTTTAAAATTATTCCACTGATTCACTGTATCCTATAAGCCCTTCTCCCTACAAAAAGCAAACAAAAGCACGAAAACTTAGCATCTTGTAGAGGTTTTAAAGCATGGCCCCAAAGTCTTGACACTCCTCTTGCTGAGCAGTGGGAAGCTGTATCTTTTTACCCTTTATTCCTGCTCTGTAACTGCTTTACCAAGAGAATGTGGCAGTCATGATGCTGTCCCAGTTTCCAGACTGAGGTCATAAGAGACTGGAGGCTTCTACTTCTCTTGGGCCCCCGCCATCATACCAGGGGAAGCCCAAGCAAGGTGTAGAGAGGACCCTTGGCCCCAGGTGAACTCCCACCAACTTACTAGCCAGGAGAGACATCTTCAAGGCCGATCCTGCAATCAAGCCACCCCAGCTGACGGCACACAGACTAGAATTAAGCACTTCCCACTGAGCTCTGCTCAAACTGCAGAGCTTGAGGCAAAATAAATAATCATGGTGTTAAGCCACCACGTTTTGAGGTAGTCTGTGAAATAACAACAACTGATAATAACACACAGTTTGACATGAGAGCAATAATGATACCTTGCCTAACACAGCAGCTGAAAGAAAACAAAATGTAAGGAGAAAATAAGGGAAATAGTGAGGAAAGAGGTTCTTTTCAAAGGGCAACCATCAGAATGACAGCTGGCTT